ATGAGCTGAGACTGGTTTGGCTCAATGGATAGAGCATCGGCTTGGGGACTGAAGGGTCCCAGGTTCGATTCCGGTCAAGGGCATGTACCTTGGTTGCGGGCACATCCCCAGTGGGGGGTGTGCAAGAGGCAGCTGATCGATGACTCTCTCTCATCGATGTTTCTGACTCTCTATCTCTCTCCCTTCCTCTCTGTACAAAATCAATAAAATATATATTTTTTTTAAATTTGCCCTATGAAAGAATAAGTTAACTCAAAAAAAAAAAAAAAAAAAAAAAAAAAAAAAGAAAGAAAGAAAGAAAGAATAAGTCAACTCTTACCAAAGTGCAAATAACAAAGTACCGGATTTATTTTCCCACATCAGACAGAGGAACAATTCTGGCATTTTTTCACTTAAATGAAAAAAAAAGAGTGAAAGTCTGGCAGGTGTGGCTCAGCAGTTCAGCATTGACCCATGAACCATAAGGTCACAGTTCAATTCCTGGTTAGGGCACATGCTCAGACTGCAGGCTCAGTAGGGGGCATGCAGGAGGCAGTCGATCAATGATTCTCTCCCCTCATTGATGTTTCTACATATTCCTCTCTCTTTCTCTCTCTCTAAAAATAAATAAAGCTTTTTTTTTTTAAAGGATCATTCTTTTTTTAAAAATATATTTTATTGATTTTTTTACAGAGAGGAAGGGAGAGGGAGAGAGAGAGTTAGAAACGTCAATGAGAGAGAAACATCGACCAGCTGCCTCTTGCACACCCCCTACCGGGGATGTGCCCGCAACCAATGTACATGCCCTTGCCCGGAATCGAACCTGGGACCCTTCAGTCTGCAGACCGACGCTCCACCACTGAGCCAAACCGGTTTCGGCTAAAGCTTTTTTTTAAAGAGTGAAAGATTCAGGATCCAATGACTTACCACTTGCCCTAAAGTTAATTAACAGGAATTCATAAGTTATATTTGTAATAATACAGTGAACAATCCCAATCATACCCTGACACTCAAGGTCAAATAACACACTATACTAAAGAAATTATTCCTTTATTCATCATCATACAATGAATTTAAGAAATTTAAAACTATCTGAAGACTACAAAGGTTTATTCTGTTATCACCTAGCTAGAAAAAGATGAGCAAGATAAAACACTGCTTTAGATAGACAATACTTGAAGATATATGACACCAATCTGATTTCTAATACATAAAAATGAACTTACTGTTGTGATTAGAAATTAATACCAAGATATTGTGGCTATAAATCTGAACTAAAAAATGATATTAATAATTAACAGTAGAACATTATAGTAAAATAAGAGAAAACATTTATTGAATGTGGCTATAAATCTGAACCAAAAAATTATATTTATAATTAACAGTAAAATGATATAGTAAAATAAGAGAAAACATTTCTTGACCAAAATGAAAATAGTTGTATACAAATAATTTAATATTAGTGTTTTTAAAATATAATTAATATATTTATCAGTAATCAACATGTGGTACTTTATTAAATTAATAATAGTATAATCATTAAATAATAATTCTTAGAGCAAATAATTTTGGCATCACCAAAATAAAGTTAGAAATATTTCTTCCTGCCATTTTAAGTGCAAGGATTACCAAAGATTACACTTGGAACGCTTTAACAACTAAGCTCTCTGTTTTTGTTAGCTCAAGGACCAACTCTTAATTATCCTCATGACAGTGTAGGTCAACTACAAATTTATCCTAAATAGCCCTGAGAATTTTTTTTAGAATTCCACTGTGAAATTCTTTCTCCCTGTTCTCATATCTCTGTTGACAGTTTTTCACGTCTTAACAGAAGCCCTCTTAGTGCTCTCCTCTCACAGAGTGGCAGGCAGTGACCTAACACTCAGAGAGAAGAAACCAGTTTCTTCACAATTCCAGGAAGCATACAGTGCTTCTCGAACTCTCCGCTGGGGGCAGGGGAGGGAAGTAATTCTAATATTACTGTTCCTTCCCCATCTGCTTCGGTTGGGGACATCAAATACATAAGCAGGATCAGCATCAGTTAAAACAAAGCAATCATTTTTACAAACAAAATCAACTAAGGCGAATGGCCAGGTTAAAACAATTTCCCTAAGATGTGAAATAACCCATTTACTTCAGTCAGTAAATTGTTAAAATGCACTTCTAATTATAGGTCTGGAAAACTGGAATTCTACACTAGAGAATTATAAAGTAAAAAACAGGTTAAAAATTAAATCCTTTTATACAGACACAGCTGTATAATTTTAAATGTGAGCAGAAAACATGGGACAAAGCACAACTAATGGGCTCAACATGGGGATATTTTATCGTAGTTCCCTTCAAGGAAAGAAATATCTGTGAAAACTGATGTAACCTACCACTATGCCACACATTTGAGTCCATAAAGATGAGGAACTAACTTACATTTTCTAACAGTGCTGGAGAAACTAGGAATATATTTATGAAACCAGAAACATCCTCTTTCACTTTAATGAAACACATTCCAAAAGTCTTGTGATACATTTCCTGCCATACTATCTCAACAAGTAAGTTATATCACATTAAATCAACCTGAAGACAAATTTATAAGTTAAAAACGGGATGGCTGGGACGGTTAAATTGAAATGAATAGGCCTGACTGTTGTCTGCCTCCCTGCTCCCAGTTCCCATCTTAATTTATGTCCTAAGAAAGATCACTATTTAAAAATACCTCTCTGTGAAAGATCAATAAAATATACAAATTTAAAAAAAACTCTGTGAAACCTTTAAATGCTCTACTGCCCTTTAATAAAGATGAATAAAGGAAATTTTGAGGCAAAACTCCCAAATATTATTCTCATCATGTCAGACAAATCTCTTCTCAAAATTTGTTTTAACTACTGGCAAATGAAGATTATTTTCACTCACTGGGATGTCAAAAGTATTGATTAAAGATTTCCAAGTGTGTGTAGACTGACAAACTTTAATTATAATAAGAGTTTATAAAAAGGAATCTATTGCCTTAGAGCCCTTAGAAAAATAAAGGTTGTAGTGTATTAGTTGAAGTTATTTTTGCTCACTCTCTTGCTCTCATTTTCAAACACATTTTACTGCTTTTGCATGTACTTTTAAAAGAAAAACAAACTTCTGCATCACAGACCAGAGATGTTTACTTATCCTCTGGAGGGATTATTGTTTAAGCTAACCCTACCAAGAGTCCATGAATCTAGCCCTTTTTAAGACTATGGTTGGAAAATAATAGATTCTATCAGGTTAAGACCAGTAGAGAAATCAGGTTGAAGGAGAAAAGGAAATGCAGAAATTCCTTGTGGAAAACCTGGGGCAGCTTCTGACTTTAGACAATGCTGTTATTCATTTCCAGCAATTTGGAAAAGGATTCCAAATTATATTTTAGACACAACACTCAATCAAAATTAAGGTACCTATAGCAAGCTTCACTTTTTTTCTTTTAGATTTGTGTTTACGTCAGAAATAAATATCATACTACATTAACACTATTTTTGACATTACATATATTTTTTTCTATATATAAACTTTTTATGGATTAAATGTTTAATGTCAGCAAGCGCAGAGAATCTCACCAATACAGAAGGAAAAAAAAAAACAGTGGATATATTATGAGGTGATGGAATTATGGGTGATTTTTATTTGCTTTCATTTTTCAGTTACAGTTGACATTCTACTCCACCATCTTGACCAGAAGTGTATAAACTTTTTTATTGGCTGCAGGGTAGTTGTATATGGTTGTAAGTTTACCTTGTATTATTTTTTTCTTTTAACCAGTAAAATCTTCGAAGATGTGGCTGTGTTAGAAATTGGGATGTTAACATACAGTGTGTTGTTGGATGTCCTGCATCTTTCTAGCCCCCAAGCTGTGCTCACATTATTTTTTCTACCTGGCCTGCCCTCCACTACAAAGCTAAATTCTATACATTCTTCAAGGCCTAGTTTCAATGCTCCCTTCCCTGAACTATCATAACACTTTCTGTTTCTAAAATATGTTACTTAAATTAAAAGGATATATTAGTCTTTCCTACTACACTGTGAGACTCTCCAGTATAAAAAAAATTAACCCTCTCATGTCATGGCTGTAGATATAAGAAAGTTTAAGAGATTAAAAAATAACATCTTAACTAATGTCATCCCAATACTTAATTAAAACTACCTTTTTTTAATCTCAGTTCAAAATATCCTTAAAAAGGATTAGAAAAGCAGCCTAGTTATCCAATCACTGAGACTGCTAGAATCCAGACTCTTCATAACTAAAACTACTTGAGTGCAAACTCTCAGGCCAGCGACTCTGACCTACTTCTTGTTTGTACACCCTATCCCACCCCCACACCTCAATATCACCTAACTCAATGTTCTACACACACTCTGAATACAAAGCATGAATACATATTATGGTGGATGAAGAAGCTGTAATTAAAACAAAGATGAAATGCTGAAAAAAATATTGACCGGTGAACCCCAATAAGCATCGGTGAACCCCGATAAGTATCATAGGTGATTAAGATAACGACCCCTTCTACAACAAAAAAGTGACAAAGATCAAGATAAGACAGTGTGCGACAAGGGTGACGAGTAACTTTCCTGGGAAGGGGACAGAATGAACAAAATGCAATGGAAACAAAAGTGCTCCCTCCGTCTAGCTTATGCTCCCAGAGACACAAGAAGCGAAGCAATTGTTCTATTATTTCATCGATGATGACATGATCAGTCTATGCGACTTCCAATATCGGGCAAAGACCTTCCAAATTAATTGGGTAATAAAACAGGCCACGGATGATCAGGACACTACCCCGCTAGAGTCCAAGAAACTGACACAGGTCAGGACCCAATCTCCCCATCTCACTCCCCCTGGAAAGGGAAGTACAACAAGCTTGTGGTAAACACTGGAGTTGTGAAGAAGTGAGTTTGGAGATTAAAACGACCTTCTAGCCACACTCAGCAGCACAGACTGACAGCAGAGAGCACCCCTCCGGTAGAAGGGGACGACGAGAAGCCTATCGAAGACTTACCTGGTTTTTGTCCTGCGGTAAAACCTCGGAGCTACGCAGCCCGTGACAGCAACAAATCCGCGCGCGGAGGCTCCGGGCTCACGCGGCGGGAGAAGGCATAGTGGCTGCGGCCCCGGCGGCGGGGGCGGCAACTCCTGCCTCTGTAGCTTCCCCTCCTCCGCCCGCTGCTACCTGCCCGGCGCCTCCACCTCCCCGGCCTCCTCCCCCCACTTCCGGGTGCTCCCAGGCCGGAAGCGGGGCGGGCCGGGCGGGAGACGGACACGTCATGTGAGAGGGAGCACAAGGGCTGAAGTCAAGCTTTCTGGGCTCCTGCTGCCCCCTGGCTGACGAGCGGCCTGGGAAGTTGTTCCGGCGCTGCAGAGCGCCTCCTTCTTCCTTCAACAAACGCTAAACAGAACAGAAACCCAACCAAACGCCTGTCAGCAGTAGTTTCCTAATCTCCAGCCAAGAAGTAATAGAGCTCCTTGTACTAGTAAATGATCTTTCCAATAGGTGCCTTTCCGAGCATGAAATCAACACACACGTGGATTGTGGAGCCCAGTGGTCGGCAAACTCATTAGTCAACCAAGCCATATATCAACAGTACAACGTTTTAAATTTCTTTTGAGAGCCAAGTTTTTTTAAACGTAAACTTCTTCTCACACCACTTCAAAATAGACTTGCCCAGGCCGTGGTATTTTGTGGAAGAGCCACACTCAGGGGGCAAAAGAGCCTCATGTGGCTTGAGAGCTGCAGTTTGCTGACCACGGGTGTAGCCCAACTCCAGATGTAAATGATAGAACCATAAACTTGCTCTGATCTCTCCACTGAAAAATGATTGTCAACATTTTTTAATTCATAAGTGTTATATATATACTTCTCTTTTTTACATTTTTTAAATTTTTTTTATTAATTATCTGTGTACATATACCATTGCGCCCCCCCATACATGCCCTCCCTCCCCATATGTACTTTTCTTATTCGTGCATTTAAATTCATAATCTTTATGTGTGTGTTGGAGTTAGGACAGAGATCTCACCTCAAACTGCCTTCACATGATCATTCCAATCTCTGAATCACTTCCACATTCTTTAATTTGTCCAGCATTTCAAAACCTAGAGCCGCCCTCCTCCCCTTCCATCCCCCCATGGCTCAGTGGTTGAGCCTTGACCTGTGAACCAGGAGGTCAAGTTGGATTCCTGGTCAGGGAACATGCCCTGGCTGTGGGCGCGGTCCCCAGTGTGCAGCATGCAGGAGGCAGTGGATCAATGCTTCTCTCTCATCATTGATGTTTCTATCTCTCTCCCTCTCTCCCTTACTCTCTGAATTCAATATATATATTTAGAAAAAATAAATAAATAAAAACTTAGAGGATTCCAAGGATGTAAAAATATTACAGTATATACACGTAAGTTTTACATAGAAATGAGATGCATAAAATGTAGCAATACAATGCAAGTAAGTGGTACAGAATCATTTGAGAAAAAAATAATTTTTATTCCTGTTTTCCAATTTGACTTTTTAAAAATTAGCAGCAAAATCCTAGGATTTTTTAAACTATGAGCATTAACAGTAAGAGGGTGAGGCTCCATCTCAAATAGAGATATGGACTTTTGATATTTCGTTTCATGAAATATATCATAATATGTAAAGGGGAAACTAATCACAGGATTACTTATATTTTCCACTGGAACCATTTGAAACCAGTTCCCATAAAAAGAGTATCAAGGTGAGACTAGTTTGGCTCAGTGGACAGAGAGTCGGCCTGTGGACTGAAAGGTCCCAGGTTCGATTTCGGTCAAGGGCATGTACATTGATTGCAGGCACATCCCCAATGGGGGGTGTGCAGGAGGCAGCTGATCGATGATTCTCTCTCATTGATGTTTATAACTCTCTATCCCTCTCTCTCTTCCTCTCTGTAAAAAATCAATAAAGAATATTTTTTTAAAGAGAATATCAAGTCTGATAATGTTGCAGAACTCAAAATAGTACATAAACTATAAATATTAAACACATTAATTAATATTTGTAAAAAGGCTTATAATAGTGTCTGACACACAATTAACATATATAAATATTAAATAAAATATTTTCCATCCTACCTGTTGTCAAATTCCTAGTAAGTCTTGACAGATAACCTGTAAAGATGCCCACAGATCTAAATTATAGGCCTGCAACTGAGTATTTCAGAAGGAATTATTCCTTCCCCCTTAACACTAATCCACATAAATAAAAAATTAGCTTCAGAACTCCCTACCTTTGGACACAGGAAGTTGTACTCGCCAATGTGCATAGCCTAACTATTAAGATACATATTCAGCCCCAATTTTTAAATCTTAAAACTACATCACATGAAATTAAGATGGCTTTTAAAAGGGCTTCCATTTATTAGCACACTAGTTTTTAACTACAATATTAAACTTCAAAGAAGTTTGCTCAAAGGCAGAACACCAGGTTTACCTTCTGATAATCTTTATCAGAAGACTAAAATCTACTAGCTCTCTAGTTTTTATGTCAAGTTTATCATTATAGCCCTAGCTGGCTTGGCTCAATGGATAGAGCTTCAGCCTGCAGAGTGAAGGGTCCCAGGTTTGATTCTGGTCAAGGGATCATGCCTGGGTTTTGGGCTCGATTCCCAGGAGTGGGTGTTCAGGAGGCAGCTGATCAATGATTCTCTCTCATTATTAATGTTTCTATATCTCTCTCCTCCCTTCCTCTCTGAAATCAATAAAGATATATATATATATATTTTTTTTTTTAAGTTTATCATTATAAACTGCAAGATCCTCTACCATGCACATCCTCAGCCACCAAGACATTCACTCATTCTAGCCATCTTATGATCATTACTCTGAATTCTTGCTCTGGTAGGTTGCTTGCCTCTAACTCGTTTACTTCCTTTTCTGGTGATGCCTGCTTTTCTTTCATTTGTGGGCTGTTTTTTTTGTTTTGTTTTTTTGTCTTCCCAGGTTGTCTCTTTTCAGGATGTCTCGTTATGTAGATCTCTCCTTTCTGTGGAATCCACGTGTCCACACCGGTCGGGGCCCCATAGCTGCTCAGTGGTCTCCACAGTTGTGGTTTTTTCAGGTCTCAGATAGGATCCCCAGTTGCAGCTCGGATACGGTTGTGAGAGGCAGCATGTACAAGTGTTTACCCTGCAGCCATCTTCCTGGGTCCTCAAAAAAAGACATTCACTGAAGCCGGTTTGGCTCAGTGGTAGAGCGTCGGTCTGCGGACTAAAGGGTCCCGGGTTCGATTCCGGCCAAGGGCATGTACATTGGTTGTGGGCACATCCCCGGTAGGGGGTGTGCAAGAGGCAGCTGGTCGATGTTTCTCTCTCATTGACGTTTCTGGCTCTCTATTTCTCTCCCTTCCTCTCTGTAAAATATCAATAAATTAAAAAAAAAAAAAAAGACATTCACTCATTCTAAAACACCTCATGTCCTGCCCTGACTGGTGTTGCTCAGTGAGTTGGAGCATTGTCCTGTACATCCAAAGGTGGCAGGTTTGATTCCCCATTAGGACACATACCCAAGGTTCTTGTTTCATCTCCTGTCCCTGCGCCTACAAGAGACAATCTCTCCCTCTCCTTCCCTTCCTTAATAAAAAATCAGTGGGGGGAAAAAGAAAAATAATAATAAAACACATCATATCTCTAAATGCATCGACCTGAATCTTCATTGTAATGCACAAGCTTATTATAACTTTTTATGGTTACAATATTAATTAAATGAGCTTTACAAACAGAAGGGAATAGTTTGTTTTAAGGAAGTAATCAGGTTGTCTGAGGTTGAACAGTTAGTAGGTACCCCCAAAATGCTTACAAAGTGGTATTAATATCTCCAATAAAATAGTCGCGAGTGTGAAAATTCAACATCTATGCTTTTATAACTACCATAGTATCTAGTTCTAAATAATAATCTAAAAGAACAGAACACATCCCCTAAAATAATATTTTAGGATGAAATTAAGAATGGGATTCAGGCCAAAACCGGTTTGGCTCAGTGGAGAGAGAATCAGCCTTCGGACTGAAGAGTCCCGTGTTCAATTCCAGTCAAGGGCATGTACCTTGCTTGCAGGCACATCCCCAGTAGGGGGCATGCAAGAGGCAGCTGATTGATGACTCTCATCTATGTTTCTAACTCTCTCTCTCCCTTCTTCTCTGTAAAAAATCAATAAAATATATATTTTTTTATAAAAAGAACGGGATTCATGGCATTCACTCTAATTTTAAAATACTTGATAATTTCTCAATGACATTTAAAAATTGGCAATGCTTCTAGGCAGTTGTTTCTGAAGCCTGCCAGCCCTCTGTCCCTTCACCCTTACCACTACACTTTAATTTTTTTTTTACACTTTAAATTTTTTAATAAATGAAAATTGGCAATGATTATAAAGTAAATCACCTAAATTCTTCAAACACACACTTTTTTTTATATTTTTTGTTTTTTGAACAGTTAACATTCAATAATTTTCTTTTTTTTTTTAATATATTTTTATTAATCTCAGAGAGGATGGGAGAGGGAGAGATCGAAATATCAACAATAAGAGAGAATCATTGCCGAAACTGGTTTGGCTCAGTGGTAGAGCGTCGGACTGCGGACTGAAAGGTCCCGGGTTCAATTCCGGTCAAGGGCATGTACATTGGTTGCGGGCACATCCCCAGTAGGTCGATGTTTCTCTCTCATCGACGTTTCTAGCTCTCTATCTCTCTCCCTTCCTCCTCTCTGTAAAATATCAATAAAATATATTTTAAAAAAAAAGAGAGAGAGAGAGAATCATTGATTGGGCGCCTCCTGCACGCCCCCTACTGGGGACTGAGCCCACAACCCAGGCATGTGTCCTTGACCGGAATCAAACCCAGGACCCTTAAGTCCATAGGCCGACACTCTATCCACTGAGCTAAACCAGCTAGGTCAATATTTTTCTGTACCAACTTCAGATGTACAGCAAAGTGGTCAGAGAATTATGCATTTACAGAGTGGTCCCCCCACTACCTCAAGCCCTATATATAGTTATCATGACACTACTGACCATATTCCCCATGTTGTAATCTATATCTCTGTGACTCTTCTGCAACTACCAATTTGTACTGCTTAATCTCTTCACCTTTTTCATCCAGTTCCCAAACTCCTCTTCCCTCTAACAAGTCTGTTCTCTGTATTTATGAGTGTGTTTCTATTTTGTTTATTTTACTCATTAGAATCCACATATAAGTGAAATCATACAGTATTTGTCTTTCTCTAATTTCACTTGGCATAATACCCTCTCGGTCCATCCATGCTATTTCAAAAGGTAAGATTCCTTTTTTTCAGCTGCGTAGTATTCCATTGTATACAGGGTGTCCCAAAAATGTATACACACTTAGAATGATTATAAAGTCAGTGTTTATTACCATTCAGTTCATTTTCAAAATTAAGTGAGTTACCAATTGTTAAAGTGTGTGCCACATCGCTGAAACCGGTTTGGCTCAGTGGTAGAGCGTCGGTCTGCAGACTGAAAGGTCCCAGGTTCGATTCCGGTCAGGGGCATGTATGTTGTTTGCGGGCACATCCCCGGTAGGGGGTGTGCAAGAGGCAGCTGGTCGATGTTCCTCTCTCATCGACGTTTCTAGCTCACTATCTCTCTCCTTTCTTCTCTGTAAAAAATCAATAAAATATGATTAAAAAAAAAAAAAGTGTGTACCACATCTTCTTTATCCACTCAACTATTGATGGACACTTGGTTTGCTTCCATGTCTTGGCTATCCTAGCTAATTAAGAGGGAATATGCAAATTGAGCATCATGCCATAACAAGATGTCTGCGCCCACAGCAGAGGCAGGGATTCCATAACAGAAGATGGCTGTGCCCCTGCTGGTGGGAATTCAGACTGGTACAACCACTGTGGAGAACAATATATTGTAGTTTCCTCAAAAAACTGAAAATGGAACTCCCATTTGACCCAGTAATCCCACTCCTAGGATTATATCCCAAGAAACTAGAAACACCAATCAGAAAGGATATATGCACCCCTATGTTCATAGCAGCACAATCTACAATAGCTAAAATTTGGAAACAGCAGATGCCCGTCAGCAGATGATTGGATCAGAAAACTTTGGTACATCTACACAATGGAATACTATGCTGCCATTAAAAAAGGAATTCTCATCATTTGCAGCAACCTGGATGGAATTGGAGAACATCATGCTGAGTGAAACAAGCCAGTCAATGAAAGAGAAACACCACATGACCTCATTCATTTATGGATAATAAAGAACGTTTTAAACTGATGAACCAAAAGATAGATATAGAGACAGTAAAGCAACAAGCAGATTGCCAAATTACAGTGGGGAGGAGAGGGAGATCTGGGGGAGATAACAGATAACCGAAGTAAAACCAATGGACACAAAACTCTGGGGAGGGAGGGTATGTATGGGAGGAAGGGTAATATTAAGATATGCACACAGATAATAATTTAGTTAAAAAAAAAAAAAATAGCCGTGCCCACAGCAGAGGCCGAGTTCCCGTAAAGAGCCTTAATAAGCAATCAGAAGGGACCTGAGGATGCACCCCCCACCTGGTGGGGCTTTACAGGGGACCTGAGACCAGACCCCATGCCCCAGCACCAGGTTGTGGGACCTGAGGCCCATGCTCCCTGCCCAGCGGGCCTTGACAGGGGAACTCAGGGCACACTCCCTGCATGGCGGGGCTTGACTTAGTGTTGGAGGAAAAAAGAGGTAAGCCCTGCCCACCCACTGGTTGGTGGCCCGGGCCTCCCTCTGCAGGGCAATCATGGGGCGATGGCCAGGCCCCTGACCAATCACATCACACCTGCCTTGGCTGACCTGGCGCCAGTGGATGTTATATCATGGTCATTCGGAAGGTCGCTCTGCTGTTCAGTTGATTTGCATATTACACTTTTATTATTATAGAACTAGAGGCCTGATGCATGAAATTTTTGCACAGGGGTCTATGTCCCTCAGCCTAACCTGCACCCTCTCCAATCTGGGGCCCTACTCACAATCCAGGACTACTGGCTCCCAACCACTTAGGTGCCTCTACCTGATTGCACCAGTCAGCATCAAGGCAAGGCCAGTAAAGTTAACATGGTAAAGGCAATAAAGTATTTTTTTTTAATTATTTTAGAGAGAGAAGGGAGACACGTTGTTCCACTTATTTATGCATTCATTGGTTGTTGTATGTGACCTGATTGGGGATCAAACCCAGTACCTTGGTGTATCAGGATGACACTCTAACCAAATGAGCTATCTCGCCAAGGCCAGCAATAGTTAATACCGACCTGCAGACTGAAGGGTTCCAGGTTCATTTCTGGTTAAGGGCACATGCCCAGATTGCAGGCTCAATCCCTAATAGGGGATATATATGCAGGAGGCAACCAACCAATGATTCTTGGCCTGGCCAGCATGGCTCAGTGGTTAAGCATCAACCTATGCACCAGGAGGTCACAGTTTGATTCCTGGTCAGGGCACATACAACAACCAATGAATGCATAAATAAGTGCAAGCTCAATCCCTAAGTGCGGAGCATGCAGGAGGCCAAACAATGATTCTCTCTTATCACTGACATTTCTGTCACTCTCTCCTTTCTTCTCTGAAATCAATACATAAATATTTTTTTAAAAAGATATGTACATTTTTTAGACATGTTATGGCACTTAATAGACTTCAGTACAGTGTAAACATGCCTTTTAAGTGCACTTGGGAAACCAAGAAATTCATATTATTCACTTTATTGTGGTAGTCTGGAACTGAACATGCAGCACCTACAAGGTCTGCCTGTATTTCATATAAAAATATTTCAACTGTTTGGTTAAGTGTAAATCCTTATCTAGATCAGGTAAATTTGGAGATTCCTAAAAGCCACTTATTTTCTGAAATTCAATTTTCTACTTACTTGAGCTATATCAACAAGCTACTTCCTGAGGCTTACTTTACAGCCTTTGATCAAGAAGCAATAAAGCATGTTGTAAATATGTCTTCTTCAGTTAACAGCTTACATATAAAATCTAGTGTAATAATGAATTCAGGATCAAAACTCAAAAGTTAGTATAGTTACAGAAAGCCAACAGCAGAGGTCACTGATAGTAGAGAAGTGAAAAACTGTATTTAACAGATCCTTTTTAAAATATCATAAACATCTCAGATAAAAATGCAGAAAAATCTAAAAACCCAATTAAGCAGGACTGAAGGGATCAATGAGGGAAAAGGGAACATCTGTAATACTTTCAACAACAAAGATAAAGTTTAAAAAAGATCTAATTTAGATAAATGTGTCACAGGAACCAAGTTCATTTGATAGGCCATTCTTACCTTTGGTCCAGTGGCACCCTAAATTCTCTTGGCAGAAATGAAAAGGAATAAATAATGCAAATTCCAAATATAAACATAAATAGAAGGTAGAAAGTAGTAGGCATAACCAAGATGTGGACATCAAATTTTAGCTCAAAGTTGACCTAAAATAATTCTGTGATCACTTATTCATGAACTATAATTTCAGCCTACTATAAAGTTGACTTCAAGGTGATAGCCAAGTTTTCCTTTTCACACTACCTCATATGAGAAAAGCTATTTATGAAGTTGTACAGCATTTTTATTTTATTAACACAAAGTTTAAATAAATGAAAAGTGATCAAGCTTGCTTTCATTCACAAAAGAAACAAACAAACCTACAATAAAGGTTTCAAATGTATTTTATTTCTCCATTCATGCCATATTTTAATAGGTATACATTGCTTTCACTTGCCATCAATCATGAGTTGGTTTTAAATAATTCATTATCACACCAACTTTGGGATGATTACTAATCTCTCCATTCCTTTGGGGTGACTCTGCCAACAGGGGACAGGTTCCATTCTATTCCAATTTGTGTTGCTGTCTGTAATTAAAAAACAACAACTGTCAGTTATACATGTTTAAACCAGGGCCTACTCTCCCTTAGAGACTATTTCTTAAAAGTGTCAAAGGTATTCTGCTATTATAAGTGAAAAACAAATAGAAACTCTTTGGGATATAGTGCCCTCCACATAATGCCCTCCTCTAATTGCTGTACTAATTCTCTAGAGCAGTGTTTCCCAAACTTTTTTTTAAAATATATTTTATTGTATTTTCACAGAGAGGAAGGGAGAGGGATAGAGAGAGCTAGAAACATCGATGAGAGAGAAACATCGACCAGCTGCCTACTGCACACCACCCACCGGGGATGTGCCCACAACCAATGTACATGCCCTTGACCGGAATCGAACCTGGGAACCTTCAGTCCGCAGACCGACGCTCTATCCACTGAGCCAAACTGGTTTCGGCAGCATTTCCCAAACTTTTGACAAATGTGTACCCCTTCTATAATTTTCGTAATGCTGAGTACCCCTCGTACTCATGAGAACGTAGAATTAGGCGCAGCTAAGCACAGTGCAGTGCATATCCCCACCAAACTCAGGTGCAAGGCGTACCCCCACCAAACTCTTCCCCTACCCCTGGGGGTACACGTACCACACTTTGGGAAACACTGCTCTAGAGCAATGCTGTTCAACGGAACTTCCTGATATGAAGAAAATGTTCTAAATCAGCATCGACCAATACAGTAACCACCAGCTGCGTAGGACCACTTCTATAATAGCCCTTCATAAAGGACTTCACCTCCAAAGTGCTGCAATAACACATTTGTTCAACATCTGTTTCTTCTAATTGAATACACTCACATTTTAATAGTATATCCAATTTTGGGAAGATCAAAACAAGAATGAAAAAGGCTTACTAAAGTATCTTTGTTTATTAAGGCAAACAATTTTTATCAATTTGTATTGATTTCAGAGAGGGACAGGGAGAAAGAGATATAAACATCAATGATGAGAAAGAATCATTGATCAGCTGCCTCCTGCACAGCCCCACACTGGGGATTGAGCCCTCAACCCGGGCATGTGCCCTTGACCAGAATTGGACCCAGGACCCTTCAGTCTACAGGCTGACGCTCTATCCACTGAGCCAAATCAACTTATAGAGCCAGGCTGGTGTGGCTGAGGTGATTGAGTGTCATCTTATGCACTAAGAGGCCACCAGTTCCATTCTGGGTCAGAGCACATTACCCAAGTTGCTGGCTCCATCCCCAGTAGGAGGTGTGCTGGAGGCAGCCAGTCTCATCCATGTTGTATCTCTCTCTTTCTTAAAAAAGAAATCAATAAAAATATATTTTTAAAAATTAAAGTCAGTCCTATCCAGTTTGGCTCAGTGGATAGAGCATCAGCCCACAGACCTAAGGCTCATACAGGTTGCAGCTAGATCCCAGGTCCTGACTGGGGCGCGTGCAGGAAGCAACCAGTCAATGTCTCTCTCTCACATCTCTCCTTGTGTCTCTCCCCCTCCTTTCCACTCTATCAATCAATGGAAAAATATCCTCAGGTGAAGATTAACAAGTAAAAAACAAAAAATAAAACGAACAATAAGATTAAATAAGATCAACTTATATATTAATTATAACTTTAAGACTCCTACTTTTAATCAGCAAGTTCAATAACTAGTAAGTAGGTTGTTAAATGTATGATGTAAAAAAAAATTAAATATTGTTGCCAAAACCGGTTTGGCTCAGTGGATAGAGCATTGGTCTGCGGACTGGAGGGTCCCAGGTTCAATTTCAGTCAAGGGCATGTGCATTGGTTGCAGGCACATCCCCGGTGGGGGGAGTGCAGGAGGCAGCTGGTCTATGTTTCTCTCTCATCGATGTTTCTAGCTCTCTATCCCTATCCCTTCCTCTCTGTAAAAAATCAATAAAATATATTTTTTTAAAATTAAATATTGAAAGCAAGTAATTTTTTATCTCATCCATCATAAATACTGTACTCAGTTCTGAGGGCAGAATTTTAGAAGAAAAACTAATTCAGTGAAGGAAGGTGACCCAAGATGGTGAAAACCCTGGAAACCATATAACAAAAAACTGACTGAGAGAACTAAGGGTATTTAATCTGAAAGAGAAGATCCAGGATACATGATAGCAATTTTTCCTAATATCTAATGGTTAATACATGGAAATAAGATCAGAATCCTTGTGTTGCAATGAAATGATTGGCAGAATATGCAGGAGGCAGATTTTAACTCAATATACAATCCTTTTAAAACAGCTATACAATGCCTAGCTAGGGTAGTTCAATGGTTGAGCATCAATCTATGAGGAGATCATAGGTTCTATTCCCTGTCAGGGCACATGCCAAGGTTGCCAGCTCAATCCCCAGTAGGGAGTGTGCGGTAGGCAGGTAATTGATGTTTCTATCTCTCTCCTTTCCTCTTTCTTTAAAATCAATAAAAATATTTTTTTTAAATAAAACAGTTATACAACACAGAAAGGGCTGCCTTATGATCCAGTAAGCAACTTGTTACTGGAAATGTTAAGAACAGATGATGGCCTTGGCCTGTTTGGTTCAGTGGATAGAGTGTCTGGTCCTTGTCCGGGTTCCTGTGGGAAGCAACTGGTCGATGTGTCTCTCTCACATCGATGTTTCTCTCTCTCTGTCTCGCCCTCTCCTTTTCATTCTCTTTAAAAAATCAATTGGGGGGATGCTCTGGTTTCTCTTCAGATCGCATAAATCTTTCGCCTTTTACTAAAAAATCAATGGGGAAAAAAAAATCAATGGAAAAATATCTTCAGTTAATAATTAACAAACATACAAAAAAGGAACAGGATGATGGTTGAATGCTAAATATTGAGAAATTCCTGCACTGGTGGGTGTGATTACATTAGAAAATCTCTAAAGTCCCTCCTAAGTAGAAATGTATTCTACTATATGAAAATACTTTGAATACATGAGCTAAATGGAAATGAAAAATATCTAAACCAGAAATTATCAATCAACAGTACTTACATAGGTCCATGTAGCAACACAAAAGGTGGCTCCACTAGCTAAAATAGCATTGCCATATTTGTCATGGAAATCAGGTGTCCTCTTCTGGTGAATCTGCCTTGACATTGTTTGCTGAATGCTTCGAACTTAAAGAAAAAAAATATACAGAATTATATTTATGAATTATCAGAAAAAGAGAATGTATGTAATTGATACTGTAAACAGGAAAGCCTGTTACAGTATCAATTAACTCTATGTATTATGCAGTTCAATAAATGTTAAAACATATTGAAGCTAAAAGCTATCTTACTTCAAAAGGCATCAGAAATAAGATGAATTGACAGATGAATAGATAAATGACAAAACAAATAGAGCAAAATGTTCATTGTAGAATCTATGTTGTGCATATGTGAATATTTATCATATAATTGTTCCAACTTTTCTATATGTTTGAAAGTTTTCATAATAAAACAGGGAGTGAAGGGAGGCAGAATCTGGGCGGAGGTGGGCAAGGGAGGGGAAATGTAACAGTGTCAGTAATAAAAACATAGTAAAAAATTTAAATTAATTGCTCAATTAAAAATACTTGGGGGGAAATAAAAAGAACAGGTGATGTCAATAATATTCTTTACAAACTGGTATTTGTATCACAGCTGAAACTTGGCTCATATTCATTAATTTGAGTATTTATGACAAATTTTCACTCGTTTATTCAACAGTGCTCAACAACTTATCATAAAAGGGTAAGTAAATTAAAAGTGAACTTCAAATTAAAGCACACTAAATGTTCATGACCTTAAAACTGCCCCCCAAAACTCCAAAAACTAGTCTTGGTTTTTAAAATAAATACTAATTAATACATTACCATGCTAAAGGAAATGGGGTATATGAAAATGTGTAAGACACAGATTCTGTCCTCAGGTTTAAAGTAGGATATTAGGCATGTAGACACCAATCACTATAATACAAGGAAGTCGAATGTTAATTAAACACTATGAATAGCAGTTAGGATTTAGTTATGTAGATGTGGGAAAGGGGAATCTGAAAAGGCAGACAGAAAAGGCCAGTGTACTAGAAAAGTAGTTAATTTGGTTAAAGGACAAATGAGGTGCATAGACAAGCAATAAGGGATAAAACCAAAAGGATTATGGAGGGCCACTGTTTGGGTTGAGGTAAAGGTTTTTGAGCAAAATTACCACTTTCATTGTAAAAACAAGACAAACAAAAAAACTACTCACTTTACACAAGGTCACCTTCAGTGCAAATCAATCATGGAAATGACTTTCCTCTCTCCAAGCGCATTCTAAATACGTGATACAGGTTTCAAAATTTCCCTGTACCTTCCTAACTTTTACATAAAAAAATGATCTACAAGCCGAAATTGGTTTGGCTCAATGGATAGAGCGTCGGCTTGGGGACTGAAGGGTCTCGGGTTCGATTCCGGTCAAGGGCATGTACCTTGGTTGCGGGCATATCCCCAGTAAGCTGTGTGCAAGGGGCAGCTGATCGATGACTCCCTCTCATCTATATTTCTCTCTCTCTCCCTTCCTCTCTGTACAAAATCAATAAAATATGTTTTTAAAAATGATCTACAAATAACAAAAACCGCGGGCTACCATTTAAGTTGTCTCCCTGTGAGGAAACCAGATAAAGACCTAGATTTACCGCTTCCTCCATTTTGGTTGTAGGAATTGGACAGGACGCTCTTCTATGTGGGAGGAGGGATAAATGTGCCCCCAAAGCTGAAATTAACAAAATTACTTAAGGAACAAGAGGTGTCCGCCAAACGTGTTCTTCCCTGAAATCATAAGTTACTATTGAATAATTAAAAAGCAGAGCTAGGCTTTTAACTCCAGTAACAGAAACAATCGGTGATTAAGTTAATGCTAAGGATATCTTCCCAATTAGTTCGGAGAGGAAGCACTTAGAAGGTCGGGAAGCGGGGAGAGGGAAAGGGCAGAAGCGACCACGAGGACAAATGGATAAAAGGCCCTTTGGAAATGATTTGATCACAATTTAAGCTCACCTGGGAGACGGCTTAGCGCGTTTTTGGCCAACGGAAACATCGTGAAGCTGAGGACAGCACTGCAGCAACTGCAGCGGCCGGTAGTTGGAACTTGGAGTCAAGTACCCTTGCGAAGAAATCTGAAAAACAAAATGGCTTTCAGGAGGGCACGTTAATGAGATCTACTGAAATCTCGCGAGACCTGTGAAAACCTATAGCATTGTAACCTCTTCAAAACACGGAAAGATAAAGGCCTTTTGGGAAATGTAGTTTCACGCTTTATAAATTACTTACGTTACACCCCTCCCCCAACCTGGAAGCCAGGTTTAGGACCCTATAGAGGAGCGCTAAAGCACTGATGTTACTGAGTGGTCAGAGGCACCAGCTTCAGAGGCTTGAGCTTGTGTCTTGCTCCACACTAGTTCTTTCAGTTCCCCCCAAACTTCCTTCACTTTGATTTTTTTTTGTCTCCTATTATTACCGTAGATACTAAGTCATTTAACTTTTACTTTTGAAATAATTTCAAATGTAGAGAAAAGTTGCAAAAATAGTAAAAATAATCCATAATTCGTGAATACATTTTTGATGAACCAAACGTAACTTCATTATAGAAACTTGGTGAGTGTTCAGCGTGAAATTCTTTCATCTTTGTTAATTCTCACCGGAGGATATTTTTTCCATTGCTTTTTAGAGAAAGTGGGAGGGAGGGAGGTAGATACATATTGGTTGTCTCCCGCATGCGTCTCAACCAGGACCCAGAATCCAACAAGAAACCCTTGGGTGTGCCCTGGCCGGTGCGCTAACCACGTAGAATACCGGCTAGAGCCACTTTTTATTTATGTTTGGAAATTTTCATAATAAAACATTGAGGGGGAAGAATTCCTGTATACACATTACCAAGATACAAAACTTGTTAATATTTTTTAAACTTTTTTTATTAATTTCTTTATTGATTAAGGTATCACATATTTATCCTCAAACCCCCATTCCAATTCCCCACCCCCCCAAACTTGTTAATATTTTGCCACATATGTTCTCTTTTGGAATTTTTATACATAAACACATATATATATAGGATGTCCCAAAAATGTATACTGTACACACTTTAACAGCTGATAGTTCAATTAATGTTTCTTTCTTTTCCGATTTAACCCATTTGAATTAATAATTATTCAAAGTGTATATACATTTTGGGGAGCACCCTGTATAAATATATGTGTGTTTATGCGTATATTTGCTTTTTTTTCTGAACCATTTGAGAATAACATGCATGCATGGCCTTTACCCATTAATACATCAGGGTTCATTTTGTAAAACTAAGATATTCTCTTACATAAACACAGTACAGTTATCAAATTCAGAAATCGTCATAATGATATAATATCAATACTATTATAGCTTATATTCCAATTTTACCAGTTGTTCCAATGTTTTCATCCAGAATTCAACCCAGGTCCTTGTATTGAATTTAGTTGTCATGTATCTTTAGTCTCCTTTTACTTTTTATTTTTTAAGCTTTTTTTTAATTTTTTTTATTTATTTAAATAATTTCAAGTACAACACAGTGCTTAAATTGAACAGTTCCTCAGCATTTCTCTGTCTTTTATGGCATTAATTTATTTCTCACTAACTTTTATTCTTGCAGTTTTACATATGAAGTAAATGTGGTAAAGAATCCTTCAATGACTTCTAAAAGACCAAGATCAGATAATTCTAAGTGCAAGGATTGGTAACTGAACTTCTGATGCCACACAGGTCTGTGCTCTGTCATATTTTTGAAGAGTACAAGACAGTTACTTTGTAAAAGTTCCCTCAAATTGTATGTTTTGATGTTGCCTCATAATTAGATTCAGTTTATGTATCTCTGGAAGGAATGCTACATAACAGATGTGTCTCCTTAGGGCATCTTAATAGGAAGCAAGTAATATTAAATTGGTAATGCCACCTTTAATAATTTGGTTGAAGGTGAATGGCGAGCAGCGACAGAGACGTGGAGAGGCACAGCGGAGGTTTTCCTGGTTTCAGAGCCCAGCCGGCGGATGGTGAAATCCTCCCTGCAGCGGATCCTCAACAGCCACTGTTTCGCCGGAGAGAAGGAAGGGAATAAACACAGCGCCACCATTCACGCCAGGGAATAGTCAGAGGGATCGCAATATTTCAGCTAATTTATTTTACTCTGATAATAGGCTGAATGTAACAGAGGAACTAATGTCTAATATGTACCTCCAAATCCAGTACAAGACGAGAATTCTCAATCCAGACCAGGTTCACAGATGCCAAACACGGTATCTAAAGAGCAGTGCTGAGCAGCAGCTGCCTCTACATGGAGATCCCAGGCGGAGCTCTGCCAGAGGGGAGCAAAGACAGCTTTGCAGTTTGCAGAGGAGCAGCTGCATGCTGTCCCTGTCTTCATTTGCTTCCACAAGAACCGTGATGACAAAGCCGCTTTGCTCCTTACCTTCAGCTGTATGGGTTTTGAGATTGTGAGACCGGGGCATGCCCTTGTCCCCAAGAGACCCGACCCTTACTTCATGGCCTGCACATTTGAGAGTCTTCTGACGAGGACGAGTAGCAGCAGCATCGCCTGCACCCTCACCTTTGCCACCTCTGACAGATCATCGCAGATAGTAGCCCCTTTGTGTGTCTCGCTTTGTGCTGGTAGTGTGACCAACGATTGCACTGGGGTGCAAATGCGAGGCCTGCTCCCCTCTTCTGGGTTTTGTCCGCATGTAATTGTGCAAATAAATGCTCACTTCAAAAAATAATAATAATATTATTAATAATAATGATAATAATAATTTTGTTGAAGAAGGGGGCTTCAAGTTCCTACACTATAAAATTACTATTTTTCCCTTGTAATTAAAAGATAACATGGCCGAAACGGATTGGCTCAGTGGATAGAACGTCAGCCTGCGGACTGAAAGGTTCCAGGTTCGATTCTGGTCAAGGGCATGTACCTTGGTTGCAGGCACATCCAAGTAGGGGGTGTGCAGAAGGCAGCTGATCGATGTTTCTCTCTCATTGATGTTTCTACCTCTATCCTTCTCCCTTTCCTCTCTGTAAAAAATTAATAAAATATATTTATTTTAAAAAGATAACATGAAGACTACATAGAAAATATGTAAATATCCTGTTCTTCATCAAATTTTCTTTTTTGTCTTTATTTAATTTTCTTTATTTGTCAAACTTTCACCCACTAGTTTTTGTATCCATTGATGATTTTTGCCTAAATTGATTATTAGTTTGAAAATTACATAAAAGATTATTTTCTTTCTATATATATGTTTTTATTGATTTCAAAGAGGAAGGGAGAGATAGAAACCTCAATGATGAGAATCATTGATAGGTTGCCTCCTGCACGCCTTCCACCAGGGATTGAACCCAAAACCTGGGCATGTGCCCTTGACCGGAATTGAACCTGGAACCCTTGAGTCCAAAGGCCAACGCTCTATCCACTGAGCCAAACTGGCTAGGCAAAGGTTATTTTTTATTATTCTTTCTATATTTAATGGTGTATGTTCAACTGTACAGATAAAATTTATCTTTTCTATTTATTCATTATCAGTATGGATTTATTAATCAAATAGGTTATATTCCATTCTGATTTATTTTAATGAACAACAATCAGTCTCCTATAATTGAACAATTAGGTAGTTTTCAGAATATTTTGGTAAATTTTGCTGCTATGAACATAGGAGTGCATATATCCTTTCTGATTGGCATTTCTGATTTCTTGGGATATATTCCTAAAAGTGGGATTACTGGGTCAAATGAGAGTTCCATTTTTAGTTTTTTGAGGAAACTTCTTACTGTTTAATCTCCAAAATTTACAGGGAACTCATACGACTTAACAAAAGAAAGATAATCCAATCAAAAATGGGCAAAGGACTTAAATAGATACTTTTAAAATATATTTCTATTTATTTCAGAGAGGAAGGGAGAGAGAGATAGAAACTTCGGGATAAGAGAGAATCTTTGACTGGCTGCCTCCTGCATGCCTCCTACTGGGAATCGAGCCCACAACCTGGGCATGTGTCTTTGACTGGAATTGAACCTAGGACCGTTCAGTTCGAAGGCCAATGCTCTATCCACTGAGCAAAACTGGCTAGGGGTACAATACAGTATTAATAACTGTAGTCAGGCCGAAACCGGTTTGGCTCAATGGATAGAGCGTCGGCTTGGGGACTGAAAGGTCCCGGGTTCGATTCCGGTCAAGGGCATGTACCTTGGTTGTGGGCATATCCCAAGTAGGGGGTGTGCAAGAGGCAACTGATCGATGACTCTCTCTCATCGATGTTTCTAACTATCTCTCTCCCTTCCTCTCTGTACATAATCAATAAAATATATATTTTTAAAAATAACTGTAGTCAGCATGTTGTTTATTAAAATCTTTAGAACTTATTCATCTGTTAACTGAAACTTTATATCTTCTGACCAACATCGCCCCATTTCCCTCAACCTTCAGCCCCCACCATAACCACCAAACTCTTGGTTTCTATAAATGTTAATTTTTAAGATTTCACATGTAAGTGACATCATGCAGTATTTGTCTTTCTGTACTTAGCATAATGTCTTCCAGGTCCAACCATTCTGTTGTAAATTACAGGATTTCCTTCCTTTAAAAAGCTGAATAATATTTCATTGTATCTGACTATTTTAGTTATCTCTCTCTCTCTCTCTCTCTCTCTCTCTCTCTCTCTCTCTCTCTGGAATAGAGGGGACAGAGCCTTTAAAACTTTAAGTTAGAATTTTCTGCCCTAACTGGTTTGGCTCAGTGGATAGAGCATTGGCCCTCAGACTAAAGGGTCCTGGGTTCGATTCTGATTAAGGGCATGTATCTTGGTTGCAGGATCATCTCTAGTGGGGGTTGTGTAGAAGGCAGCTGATCTCTGTTTCTCATTAATATTTCTGATTCTCTATACCTCTCCCTTCCTCTCTGTAAAATCATTACAATGTATTTTTTTTTTAAAGAACTTCTTCTCTTCCCATTTCCTCTGTGTCCTTGTCCTCTTCTCTCTCCTGACCCTTTCCCTGCTTAAAGCACTGATCACGTGTCAGTCTGAGCCACTGGATTCTTCCATGCAGAGACAAGACATGCCTATTTGCTCTCTCATAGTCTGTAACGCACTCTGAACAGTTCCTTTATTCCAGGCAGTATGGGGTCTTTAACTTCTCTTGGTCT